CGCTGTCTGAGTGACCGGGGTGGCTGGCAGAGGGGCCACCCCGAGTGCCAAGATCCCCCAGAAGCAATAACACCCGTGGCCCCCGACCCCCAAGACCACGCGTGTGTGCGCCTGGGGCTCACCCCTGCCCGGACCAAAGGCCCCGCTGCCAAGCCGCAGTCTGGCCCCAAACTTCCCGTCACCTGGGCTTCGTGCCGCTGGACGCCCAGAGACCCATTCAGGGCCCAGGCTGGGTGTGTCCAGCTCAGCCGGGAACGACCTTGACTCGGAGTCAGTCTCTCCCGGTGTTGCTGGGTGGGAGGGAGCCCAAGAAGGCAGTGGGCACTCGGATGAATGCCCCGTGTCTCTGCAGGACTTGGTGGGATGGGCTTGCCCACTGCCCACCCACACCAGCAGGACCGTGTGAAGAGACGACGCTCAGATGTGTGCCCTGCGGAACATGCAGACCCACTGTCAGGGGGCAGGAAGGAGGACGCAGGGAAGCACTCTGCCTGCTGGGGGCGGGGGGGGGGGGGTGAGGGTTAACACAGGACAGGTCTTGAAAGATGCATAGGAGTTCGCCGGAGCAAGAGGCCAGGGGCCACAGGAAGGGAAGGCAGGCGGGGGACAAGTCGAGAGGTCCTGGCCTCAGTCTGACCCCCACACTGCGGGTCTGGGGAGAAGCTCATTCCACGGATGGCCTTGCCCAGACCGGGGAACCCACAGTCAGTGCCTGCATACCCGTCAGGAAGGAATCGAAGTGAGACGCCTGGGCTTCCTCCCACGTCCCTGGAGGACACTGCAACTCACCTCGCTGGAGGGAGCTCCGACCTTCTTAGGGGCCCTTCTGTGAGCTGTCAATCAGGGCTGGGTGTGGGCGCAGCCCTGCTTTATACCACCAGTGCCCGGTTTCTGCTCCCGGGATCCCTCCTTACTCACGCCCGCTGCCCCGACCGCCACATTCACACCCGCGGCAATGACGAGGCATCGCTGGGCAAAGCCCCCTTGGGTGAGCCAACAGGCAGAGGAAGAAGAGGGGTGTGTGTGGTGGGGGGGGTGCCCTTTCCTGTCCTGTCCCACCAAGTGCTCCCCAGGCGCTGGCAGGGGTAGCGGGGTTCCGGGAGAGGCCGTGAGCATGAAGCCCCTTCCCCGCCCCTCGGGAAACCCGCAGAGCGCGCACGGCTCGGCCCAGCCGACTCGAGCCAACAGACCCCCACGCAGAATCCACCCCACGCCGAGAGAGCGCGGCTCCAGCGGGAAGCTAACTTTATTTTCCTGCCGGCTCTGCAATTTTTGGAGATAATAGAGGGCAGCGGAGCGTCCCGTGATGGATAGCGCCTGCCAGGAACGAGAGCGCACCCCCTCCCCACCGCTCGCTGCTATGTGCGTGGAGGATGCCGGGGGGGGGGGAGGACGCGGAGGATAGGGTGCAGCGCAGGGCAGCCCCCTCCCCACCCCAAGCCACCCTGCCGTGGTGCAAACACCTTCGGCCTCTGCTAAGTCAGAGCACGTGCCTGGGCGAGATGGAGCCACAGGGGGAGGGGCCGGGTACAGCCTTTGTGAGCGTTCCAGAAGGTGCCAGCAGCCTGGCGTGTGTGAGTAGAATGACAAGGAGCAGGGCCAGGGAACTTGGCCGGGGAGGGAGCACTGTGTGGGGGGGCACTCCCCCAACAGGGCACCACCCCGAGGCGCAGTGGCCCCCAGCGAGATGGCACCCCTCCCCCGGCAGAGCAGGGAACCGACTGGTCTTCCCAAGGTGGGCGGGTGGATGGGTCAGGCCTGCCCCTCCCCTCACGGCCTGGTGGGTCCCCCAGAGAAGAGGCCGTGTCCACATGGTGGCAATTGACCCTGAGTGGGACAAACCCAGCACCCTGCCTTGTGCCATGCCACAGAGCTGGGGCTGCCACGGCTCCGGCCCTTTCAGCAGGCGTCTGCGCCCCACACAAGGACCGGCCATGCCTGTCCCCAGCCTCCCCCCACCCCAAACACAGCCACACCACACCCGTCCTGCCCGACTAGAGAGCTCCCTCTGTCCTGCCACAGGGGGCTACGTGGGGGGACAGACCTCCACCCTTCAACCACGGAGGCATTGGGGTGAGAAACGCTGGGCCGGGCCAGGCTGGGGGGCTTCTAGGTGGGCAAAACCCCAAGGTGGCAGAGGACACCCCAGTGAATGCACGCTCAACCCCCTGCCAGGAGAGTCCACGGCAGCCACGTGACCCAGGAGGTGACTGGACAGTCACGGGAGGGGGGTGGTTGGAGTCCCTCAGACCCTCTCTCTCTTCTGAGACCCCCCCACGTCACGCCACGCCCTGTCCACCCACCCCACACTGCAGCTTAAGAACCCGGATGCCACGACAGACGGCGGGTCACACAGGGCGTCCCAGACTCCAGCAAGGATCACGGGTCGAGGACTGCAGCCCCGGCGGGCACTGGGCAACAGCTGGACATGCTGTGCCCGGGGGACCCATGGCCAAGTGGCTGGAGGGAAAACCATGGGCTGGCTCCGGGGGTGCTTCATTCTGCTGCTCTGGAGAGCACAGCTGGGTTGGGGGACAGGCACGGCATCACTTACTCAGAGATGCCCAGGCCACCGCGGAGTGGACGCCCCCTCCAGCTGGGTACCGGGGCCAGAGGGGGGTGGCGGGGGAGGGCACTTTCTTAATCCCAAAGACCCGGATGGGGAGGGCACACGTGCTGATGGCATGTGGTTCTTCCAAGTCCACCTGGCCGCGGCCTCTCCCAGCCGATGGGGTGGGGGGGGAGTGACCACGTGCATGGACGGCTCCCAGTCATCTATGGGTCACACAGGGTGTCCCAGACCCCAACTAGGGCTGGACGGGGGTGCCGAGCTGTCTGGGAACCCCTCAGGGCTGCAGGAGGAGGGGAGGGTCCGGTCACGGCGAGGGCTGCATGCCCAAGGCATACACACACATGCACGCACGCACGCACACACGCACTCATGCACGCGGCCCGCCGGGGCTATTTTGGGATGTAACTAACTACTACTGTTCCTGCTTTGCTCACAAGGGGGGGGGGGGGACAGGCTTAGTCACACAGCGAGGAGGAGGCAGGGCCTGTCTGACCTCCGGGGAGATGGCATCCACCCAGAGCTGGCCCCCAGGACCACCAGTCCCCAGCCTCACCTCTGTATTCCTGACTCCGCAGCAAAAGCCTGGCAGGGCCCTGAGGCCCCCTTGGCAAGGCTGGGCACGCAGGAAGCGGTCACTGGCCTGTGCCCCCCCCCCAAACACTGGGAGTTTGAAACGAGTAAGTGCACCCCTGTGTCTGCCAGGTAGGAGACGGGGCCCCTGGGTGCCCCCTCCCCACCCACTTTGCCTTCTTAGCGCCCTATTGAGGAGATGCACAGGGTTCTGGACACCCCGTGGGCCGGCCCGTGGCGTGGCCAGGGGAAGGGCGAGGAAATGGAGGGGCTGGGGCCCGACAGCTGCAGCACACCCCCTTCTCCTCCACACACACACACACACACACACACACACACGCGCGCGCGCACCCACCTTCCTTCTCTCCCCACCCCTCACTCTGCAGGGCATCACCCGGGATGCAGGTTTGCAGAGGTGAGGGAATCCCCTCCCCGTTTCCTGCAGGGCGTCAGGAGGGGGTAGAGGTTCAAACACCTCAGCCCTGGCCACGGAGCCTGGGTCACGCCAGCACCATCCGTCCGCCTCACGCATCCCCTGCCTCGCTGGGTGTTTTCCTTCTGGGGGTTATTTCCCGAGACTCATGAGAGTCCAACAGGCAGATAGGACCCTGGAACCCCAACAAACATGACAAAAGACCTCAGAATGCTTGTTCCCCCCAGGCCTGGCTGTGGCCCCTAACCTCAGGGGGGGCCTGGCGGTCAGCCAGGTGGGGGGGTAGGGCATGAGAGGGGGGAGGTCTGCAGGATTGGGGGGATGAACCCTGACCCCAAGAAACCACGCCCCCAGGCCTGGCTGTGGGAAGGGGGGGTTGGGGGAGGGTGAGACTGTCAGTGGCCTGGCTGTGAGCAGTCTGGGTGGGGTGGAGCCAGGCCTCACCCCTAAACCCCTGCTGGCCCCCCCATCCTGGGGCAGGAGCCCTTCGTGCTAGGGCCCCCACTGTGCAGATAGCAGCACCTGTGGGGCCCCACCTGGGATGCGGCCAGACCTCCCTGCGGGCCCTGGGCTGGGCCTGAGTGACAGGCGACACCAAGCCCTCCCACCTGTCCCCAGCACTCTTGGGCACACCCCAAAAGCAAGCCTGCGCCCCCTGCGGATTCCCTGTCCCCAACTGCATCCGGCCTCATTACTACACCGAGCAACTTCTTAGATGGCAGAGGAGAGAGCGGGCATGGGGGGGGGGGGTTGGGCAGGGGGCTGCAGTCCGGAGAAGCTCCCCCGGCCAGGGCCAAGGTGGGGGGGAGCCAGGAGGGGTGGCGGGGAGAAGCCGGGAGGAGGCAGTTCTAAAGGGGGACTCGGGGGAGGGAGGGGGGACACACTCAGGTTTCCTGGTCCTCTGGCCCATACCCCTCCCCTCTCCACCCTGACCCAGAACCCCCAGCCCCCTGCGACGACCACGGAGACCCCTGCAGACCCCTGCAGACGGAGAAGATCCGCAGACACGTGCCCTCCCCTGTTGCCCCCGCAGTGGTGATTCCTGTTGGCTTGCAGAGGGTCACTGAGGGGCACCACCTTCTCCCCTGGGGCTCGGGGCTGCACCCGCGCCAGCCTCGGGAACAGAAGACCCCCCCCCCCCACTGCCAGCCCCCACCCCCACCACCTGTGAATTGGCTCCTGGAGCCCAGCCCAGGGGGTGGGTCCTGGCGCGGGAGACCAGGGGGGTCCTGCACCCCGCAGGAGCCGGCAGCCCGTCCGGCTCCCCCTCTGGGTCTCCCCGGGCCCCCTTGGGCGATCCCCCCACCCCCAGGCCGGGCTCTCAGGTCTCCTGCGCAGGGGTGCGGGGAGCGGGCGGCAGGGGCGAGGGACTGCAGGCAGGGCAGCGTGCAGGTAGCTGGGGGAACAAAGGCAGAGGTGGCTTACCTTTGGAGGGGCGCCTTTGTTTGGTCTGCAGAGAGGAGAAGGTGCCCATGACCGCCCCCATGGCCACTTGCAGGGGGGCAGCAGTCCCGGCCGGCGGGGCTGGGCTTCAGCGGGCGGCGGCGAGGGGCTGGGGCGCGGGGAGCCCGGGGTCTGCGCCCGCAGCCCGGCTCAGGCACCTCGCGGGGCCCCGCCGCTCCCGCCAGCCTCCCCAGGCCCGCCGCCCGCCGCCCGCCCGCCCCGCTCCGCCCGCTGCGCCGCCGCCGGGTCTCGGGGGCCCGAGCCGAGCATGAATGAACGCGAGGCGGAGCGGAGCTGCCGGCTGGCTGCCTGCGCCCCTGCCAGCCCCGCTGCGGGGACGGGAGGGAGGGAGGGGCCGCAGGGGCGGGGTGCCGGCGGTGGTGGGTGCCCCCAGTCCCCGCAGGGGGCGGGCCGGGACCCTCCAGTGCCTCCCGACCCCAGAATGCAGGCGTGTGTATGCGTGTGTGCACGCGGGAGGGTGTGTGTGTGTGGGGGGGGGAGAGGGAGCCCCACCCAGGCAAATAAAATGAACCAAAGAACCTCAACTTCCGGCCAGGGCCAACTTCTAGGGGCAAGAAAGTTGGGGGTCAGGAAAAGCCCCCCCAGCCCCTGGGGGCTCCCCACTTTCTCTTCTGCTGCTCTTCCCCTCCCCTCTGGCTCTGTAGGGGGTCTGACGGCAGGATGAAGGGGCAGTGGGGTCTCTCTGCAGACCCCCTGGGACTCCCCACTCAGGCCACAGAGAACGGGCTGGTCCCAGCGCCTCAGCTGGGGTGGCTGGAACTAACAGGGTTTGTGTCTGCAAAGGCCCAGCGAACGCTCCCAGAAGCCCGGCCCCTCCTGCACATGGACGCAGAACCCAGGACCCCCACGGATGGCCCGGAACCAAGTAAGGAGCATATTTACACGCCAACGCCTGTCGGGAGAGTAACCCGCACACACCAATGCCCATCACGTGAGTAACCTACACACGCCAACACGTCACATGAGTAGCCCCCACAAGCCAGAACATGTCACATGAGTAACCCACACACACTAACATGTCACTTGAGTAACCCACACACACCAACGCCTGTCATGTAACTCCACACGTCAACGCCTGTCACGGAACCCCCACATGCCAATACCTGTCACGTGAGTAACTCGTACACGTCAACATCTGTCACATGAAGTAACCGCCACATGCCAACGTCTGTCATGTGAGTAACCCCCACACGCCAAGGCCTCTCATGTCTCTGCCTGGCCCCGTGCTCTGTGCCTGGGTAAGTGTGCCCAACGGCCACCAGACATAGGGAGGGGGCTCAGCAAAGGGACAGAATTTGCTGACAGTGACCAGCCCTGCCCTGCACCAGGAGCCTGGGGGGGGGGGGGGGGGCCTGAGACGCAGATGCCGGGCACGGCACAGCCCACAGCGCACAGGAACGGCCTGGGCTGTGAGGAAGGTGCCACTGGCCCCTGACAGAGCAGCGCGTGGGGACGTCCACACTATCTGTTGGTACACAGGCCCACCCAGGGCCTCTGGCCCCTCCTGCCAGAGTTCTGGGAGGTGAGGGCTGGGCTTCCCCATGGGGAAGCGGGGAGGGACGCAGGACACACGAGGGCCCAGCCCCAACCGATACCCCAGTGAGACAGCCCAGAGCCCCCCACACGGACACACAGACGCACATACACACAGACAGACTCACAGACTCACGGGCACACAGACACAAACAGACACACAAACAGACACACGGGCACACACATCTAGGCACACACACAGAGACATACAGACATACAGACATGCAGACACACAGGCACACACAGACGCAAAGACACACAAGCACACACACATAGGCACACAGACACACAAAGACATAGACACACATGGGCACACACAGACACATAGATACACAGATACACAGGCGCACACACACGTACGCACACAGACACACAAATACAGACACACACGGGCACACAGACACACACAGACATAGACACACATGGACACACACAGACACATAGACACACAGATACACAGACACACACACGTAGGCACACAGACACACACAAGACACACATACAGACATATAGACACACACGGGCACATACAGACACATAGACATACGTGGGCACACACACGTAGGCACACAGACACACACGCACAGACACAGACATGTAGACACAGACATATAGACACACACAGACAGAATCACACTGACATACACCGACCCACACAGGCATCAGACACACATACACACACACACAGAGGCACACGGGTGCACACAGACACACAGGAGAGGCCCCTTGGCCGCAGTGTGGGGACAACAACACGCCAACCCCGCCAAGGGGCTGCTCGTCAGACACCCCGACCAACCCTGACGCGGGGCCTGCAGCCCCCCAGCCCGAGGCCACAGACCCCCCGGAGTGAGTCTGCAGGTGGGGCCAGCTCAGCTGCCCTCTGGGCCCTCAGAAGGTTCTAGAGGATCAGCTCCCTCACCCCTGCCTCCAACATGAGTACCAGCTCTGAAATTCTGGAACCCCCCCCCCCCGCCCCTCCTGGAGGCAGGGGTGAGGGGATGGGGCGTGTGCGGGTAGGGTGCCAGCCTGGGTCCCCGCCCTGTTTGCTCGCCTGGCTTGCGGGAACAGTGTGGGGGTCCTGTAGTCACAGGCTGCAGCCCAGCCTGGCGGGGGCAGACGGAGAGACAGGACAGGGGGGCGGGCGCTTGCCTTCTGCGGCCGAGCTGGGTTCCATCCCCGACCCCACACAGGAGTCCAGCCAGGAGTGACACCCCCCCCCCCGGAGCAAAGAGCCAGGAGTTCGCCCTGAGCACTGTCAGGGGTGGCCCCCGAATAAAGAGGAGCCAGCAGAACGCCCCCCTCCCTGGCCTGTCCCCCGCGGATCCAGTTGGCCAGAACCAGGGCCCGGCAAGGGTGCCACCTGCAGGCCAGCCTGGGCCCCGTCCCTGCCGTGGGCACGGGTGTCCCTGCCGCTTGCTGCTTGGAGCAAACGGGGCTGCCTGGGTCCAGGACACCTGGGAAGGGAGGAAGGGGCCAGAGGCGGGAGTCGGGGGGGCCTAGACGAGGGCCCCCCCTAACACTGAGGCTGCTGGAATCACTCGTCTCAGCACAAACCCGGGAGGAAGCAGGGTCCATCCCCACAACGCACCCCACTCCCCAGAACTCAAACAACGACACCCTCAGTAGGGTCCCGAGTCCAGGGCACACTTACCACTGAATCACTTCAATAACCCCCCCACACACACACGGGGTGGGGGACTCGCCAACGCCCCCCACCCCAATTCAGATCTAGGGGCCCAGAGCGCAGGGAGGTCCCGGTCCCCCCACAACCACACGACCAGGAGGTAGCGGTGGGTCAGACCGTGAAGTCTGAGGAGTTGGCCTATCCCTGCCCTGCTGGGGGGCTGCGGGGGTACCCCAGTGTTGGCCCGACCCCCGCGGGCACTGCCCAGCTCCTGTGACCCCCGCTGCAGAGCCAGCAGGGAAGAAGCCATGCCCAAGGCTTGTCCCCACCACCCTGGGCGTGGGCAGCACAGCCCGGCCAGCAGGGATGGCGGGTGCTGCTCCCCTGGGGTAGGGCAGGCGACACCCAGATTCAAACACCCGGATGCTGTCTGTCCGTCTGACCGTCCGTCCAGGAGCAGCCGAGGCCTGCTGCAGAGGCGGGGGTGGGGAGGGAGGAGCGGGCAGGGGTCTGGGCAGCCCTTTGAGGCGGGAGCAAGTCCCAGCACAGGCGTCGGGCGCCCAGTGGCCGCGAGACTCGAGACCCTTGGGTGCATATATGCGTAGACCACCCCCCCATCTGCCCATCCTCCCTGGGCCCCCCGAGACCCTACATCTCAGAACCCCCTGCATGGTGGAGGGGGCCAGCCCACAGCTGGAGGAGGGAGAAGTCAGGTGCTGGGAGGCCCCGGAGGCTCTCCTATAAGTGCTCCATCCCCTTTGCTGGGTCATTTCTCTGCGTGGCCCTGTGTTCTCCCGCCATGAGGGTCCTCAGCCCACAGCAAGTCCTGCAGCTCCCCTACGGCCACCGGCAAGTCTGTGCCTCGGTTTCTTCCCCTGGGGCTGAGGCTCAAGGCCACACGGAGCAGGAGACTGGTGTGTAGCATGCCAGCCCGCAGGCCTCAGCCCCAGCCTCCCCTGCATCGCTGGAAAAACAGGACGAGGGAATGGGAGAGGGGTGGACGGCATCTTTCTCCCCCCGCGTCCCTGCAAGCCTGGTCAGCAGCACCTGCCCGGTGGCCTGGCCCCGCTCCTGCGGCAGGCGGGAGATCAGGGATGCTGACCCCTGCCGGCTCGGGGGACCCCGTGGCTGCTCCCTCCTTCAAGGTGAGCGTCCACCCCCACACACCGGGGATTCCTCCGCCACCTCCTCTGGGAGAAGCTGAGTGTGGGTGGCATGGGGTTCAGACCCCAGGGCTCTGAGCCGGCCCACGGTGGCCTCACCCCCCCACCCTCCCCGCCCCACCCCTCACTGTGTTCTCACTGCAAACCCAGCCGAGTCCGACTCTGCCCTGCACGTGGGCACGACCAGCATGCGGGGAGTCGCTGTGGACGCCGGGGGCCAATGAGCGTTGGGGAGCCTCTGGTGAGTGGGGGGGGACCCTGATCCAGCAGCTCTGGGGGGCTGGAAGATCCCCCCCATCCCTAGCCGGGCAAGGCACAGTGCAGGGTGGGTCTGGGTGGGAGCAGGGGGTCCCAGAGGTGGGACGGGGACCCTTTGGGGGGACAGCGCGTGCCCTGCCCCCGCCCGCCCCCTCACGTCCCCTGCCTCTCCCACCTGGCTGCCAGGAGGCCTCCAACGGAGGAGTGAAAAATGAGCCACTAAATGTATTATGACTTGTGAGGCTGTCTTAATAATTAAGTTTTATTAAAACGAACACCGAGAAATTTCCTGACACGGCGTGCCTGGCGGAGCTCGTCAGGGGTGATGAATGAGTGGGTTCCGGGGCGGGCGGGCTGGACGGGAGCACAGGGCAGGGGAGGCCCGAGGGGGGCACCCGGCCTTGCTGCCTCTGTCCGTTCCTCCCTGTCCCGCCTGATGGGCGGGGCTGGGGTCGCCTGGGCACAGCCCCCACAGCACCAATGACGCCCAGTCGGGCCAGGGA